CCTGAGGCAGATGGTGAACAGAAGCCTTCTCCTCTTACCTCTCCTGCCCGACCCTCTGCTCTTACCTCTCCTGCCCGACCCTCTGCTCTTACCTCTCCTGCCCGACCCTCTGCTCTTACCTCTCCTGCCCGACCCTCTGCTCTTACCTCTCCTGCCCGACCCTCTGCTCTTACCTCTCCTGCCCGACCCTCTGCTCTTACCTCTCCTGCCCGACCCTCTGCTCTTACCTCTCCTGCCCGACCCTCTGCTCTTACCTCTCCTGCCCGACCCTCTGCTCTTACCTCTCCTGCCCGACCCTCTGCTCTTACCTCTCCTGCCCGACCCTCTGCTCTTACCTCTCCTGCCCGACCCTCTGCTCTTACCTCTCCTGCCCGACCCTCTGCTCTTACCTCTCCTGCCCGACCCTCTGCTCTTACCTCTCCTGCCCGACCCTCTGCTCTTACCTCTCCTGCCCGACCCTCTGCTCTTACCTCTCCTGCTTCCATCTTTATTGGTTTTTTCAACCTTTTCTTTCTCCTCCCTTCCCTTCTTTCTGCCCCGGTTCTCTTCTCCAATTTCGTTTGTGACCACTTGATAGGGCAAAATGGCAGCAGCGAGTGACATGTTAAAGAAGGCCCTTGCGGTATGCTGCAGCAGGAGGAACAAAAAGAAGAGAGATGGACGTGAAGTTGTGGTGCCGGTAGTTTGGGGGGAAGGAGCCGGGGCGAAGGCTGCAACGGCACAACTGGGCAGGGAAGGGGGTTGAGATACAAGGAGGAAGATGAGACGTAGGAAGGAGAGTGTGGAAGATGGAGAGAGAAGAGGCCATGGGGGCGAGTGACAAGAAGCAGGTGAATCCCTCGGACAGTCAAAGTCGACTTCTTCTTGCCGTCATTGAAGGTGAGGACAGCAAGGGGAGGACAGAGCGACGGTCAAGGCCTGCATGCTGATGGTGGAGGAGGAGCGAGCGGGGATGAGGGGAGCTGGTAGTGGAGGTAACAAAGGGGCAGGCTCGTGGGGTCGAAATTCGCTTCCTCAGGACTACGTCGAGAGTCTCTTCGACTCCATCGCCGAGCGCTACGACAGGGATATCCTCCCCGCCCTCTCCTACACCGGCACGTCTCCTCCACCCCCTCTCTCCTCAAGCTGACTTGCTCATTCGGCAGGTCCGGCAACGATGGTAAGCATGCTCAGCAAGAGGATGACAGGCGTGGCTGTGCTGGAGGAGACGCAGAAGCCTGTCAGTCTCTTCCCCGACGCTGAGCAGGTCAGGTGCAACGGGCTGGAGGTGAACTGAGCTGATGGCAGTCGACAAGTCCGAGAGCTGAAAGAGGAGCAGAGTTCCCTTCCCTGGGTCTCAGAGCTGCCGATCTTGGTTGCGGCACAGGATCATGTGGTGCCGTCTTCAGATCAGCTTGTCGAGAGGTAAGAAGAGGGAGAGGGTCACGAAGAGAAGGAAAGGGAAGGAGGAGGAGGGGCCGGGGGCTGATGCTAAGGTGCAGATGATTGGATGTGATATATCAAAGGAGATGTGCAAGGTGGCAGAGGAGAAAAACATTTACGATAGGGTGGAAAAGGAGGAGGCAGGTAGGTGGGAAATGGAGGAGCGCAAGAGAATCACCCTGGCTCCTTCAGCTCGGTTCCTTTCCAAGCAGCAGGCAGAAAGCTTCGATCTTATTCTCGCTGGTCCTGCTTGATGTTTGTCTGCCTCTTTTCACGTGAGCACAGGAGACGTTTTCCCCTACATCGCCGACCTCCAGCCCATCCTCGCCCTTGCTCACAGATGTATGCGACAAGGCGGCAGGTATAAGCGCAAAGAGCATGGCCACGAGCAGCATGAGAGTTGAGCGAGTGTCAGATTTCTCTTCACTGTCGAGGCTCCTCCTGCTGCCGACGCTGAAGTTTCACGGAGGAAACAAGCAGAACTTGACGCGACAAGGTGGGCTTGAGGAGGGAGGAGGGAGCCAAGGAGAGAGGTAAGGCTCTTGCAAGGCTGAGCAGGAACGCGCGGTTCAGCCATGCGGAGGAGCAGGTGAAGAGACTTTGTGGTCTCAGTCAACTTGAGGTGCTCCCTTGTGCTGGGCCTCTCTTCTCTTCTCAGTTCTACTGCACATGCAGGTGGAGGAGATCAGCGGCTGCACTCTTGGGATTCAAGTCAGAGGAGGGGGAGGGGGGGGGTCTAGGTGTGACTGAGCGTGTCAGGACGGAAAGTTCATACGAGGACAAGTGTATCTTGTCAAGAAGCAAGGGAGTCAACCCCTTGAGCCATCAGCAACCTGAGGTAGAGTAAAGCTGTCTCAGATACAAGAGTCAAGCTGTCCCAGATACTTCAGATACAAGAGTAAAGCTGTCTTAGATACAAGAGTCAAGCTGTTTTAGATACTTCAGATACAAGAATAAAGCCGCTTTTGATACAAGACAACACTGAGCATCTAGACAGACTCAACGACCTGACAGCTCAAAGCAAGCACTCTCTCTCTCCCCCACCCTCCCCCTCTGGCTTCTCTTCTTTTGTACTTCCAAAGTTTGACCTTCTCGTTCTGTTTCTCGCGGTGGTGAACAGCGTGGCTGTGACCATGCCCCTCGCTGTGTCTGGCAGTGGCTCCGACTTGCCGGGCGACAAGGCTGCCGTCGCCTCCACCTCCCAGGTGTGTGCGGTCACAGCCGGCTTGTGCACTGAAGGAGATTCAGAAGAGGAGGCGGGAGAGCAGCAGACCTTGTCGCGAGAGAGCCCGGCTACTCCTGAGGGGTGGAGGCGCTTGAGACTCGCCGGCGTCTAAACGAGATCCCGCAGACTGTCAAGGCACCATCAGCTGACTCCAGCAAGTATAAAAGCAGGAGAGGTGAAAGAGGAGCAAGAGCAGAGAGGAGCGTACAGGAGCCTTGAACTTAGACGAGTTTCGTTGCTCGTAGGATATCATGTCGTCAGACTTGAAGTGCACGATCCTCCCTCGCTCATCGGGCAACGCCGTGTCAAAGATAGCTTGGCTGCTCATATGCTTCCCGATGGCCTTCCCGTGTCGTATCGCGTCGACTTGTTCGCGGGTGCTGCGTTGGTGACTCCCAGCTCCGATCGCCATCTCCTCCAGCTCCTCCCGCTTCAGATTCCCGTGCCGTCGCCTCGCCTGCTCCACCGTCTCCTTCTGCTTCTGGACCATCCAGTCCCTCCCGCTCGCCCCGGCTCTCTTGGACGTGACGTAGCCCAGGCTGCCCACCTGCCCCATGTCAGACGCTCTGACTCGAGAGAGAGAGAGAGAGAGAGAGAGAGAGGAGACCTTGTATCCCGACGGCTCTCTGTCTTTGGTCAAGATCTTATACTGACTACCCGAAGCCACAGGCACCTCAAACTCCACAAGAGCTTTCCTCGACAGTCCGAAGTAGCTTTCAATGACGCTCTCCTGCAGTCTCGTCAGCGCCGCTGCGACTCTTGCGCGCCAAGACCTCTCCACTTCCCGCTCCCTCCAGGATGACGATAGGCAGACCCGCGTAGTAGTTGTCGATAGAGCTTGCACTCTCATCAAGGACGATGAAGTCGATCCCCCCAGCTTGTGCTACTCCCAACTCTTCTTCAGCTGGCTCGACATCTGTCCTGTACTTTATCCCTATGTTCGAGTCGGCATTCACCGTCTCCTCCTCTTCCTTCAGCTGCTTCACGCGCCGGTAGCATCGGATCGAGATGAAGAGCAAGACCAGGAAGCAGAAGCCCGACACCACCACAGCTGCGATGCGACCAGCCGTCCACCACTCCGGCGAGGTCTCGAGGTGCTTTGGAAAGCGACCGCAGATGCCAACTGGCAGAGAGCTGGGGATGGTGGACAGCTGGAGAGGGTTGCTGAGAAGCTTCTGGTCGAGGTCGCCGAGGATCACCAACGCGAAGGGCTGACACATGTCGCTGTTCATGGCGTTCGGCGAGCTGCCGCGCAGGGAGGTTGCAGAGATTTTGACAAGCACCTCGCTGGCTGAGAGGTTCGACAGCCTGACAGCCTCCACATTGTTGACAGCGTCGCCTCCGACAGCCCCGTTTCCCCAGTACACTTGACGTCTGCTGCGATCTCGCGGATAGTCGGACAGAGGCTTGGTTCCCTCCGGTGACGTCATCATGATCGGGGTGACCTCCAGCATCAAGTCCAGGTTGTTGACCAGCACTGCCGGGGCACCCATAGAGCCTGGAGCATCAGTGTACGCCAACGTCACAGTCAAGGGGCTTCCCGATGAAGCTGCATAGATCGAGAAGTTGTACATGACAGTCTCATTCAGCGACAGCGATCCCTTCTTGAAGCTGAAGGAAGGTTCGAACGAGGCATACTGGCAGGCATGAGACGCCAGATCCCAGCACCGCGTCACGTCGCGCAATCGTTGACAGTAAACGATCAGATCGTTGTTTCCGCACTCAAAGCTCGCCCCACAATCACTGTTTGACCTGCACAACTGTGCAATGTTGGGGCCTCCAAGGCAAAACTTCGGGGATTGTGACTGGACAGCAGTGAGCCTCAAGCAACAAAGAGCGATCGACAACTACCTGGTTGAAGTCAGAGACACAACTTGACGGGATGGAAACTATGTCATGATCTAAAGCGATCATGCGAAACGTCTTGCGCTTTGTTTTGTACGGACATGAGCTGATCTTACTCAAATTTTGTGCACAGACTTCTGAAGAGTAGAACATCGTCGGGATTTCTTTGAAGACTTGTCTAGAAGGACACGAGCTATTGACAAAACACCTTGGGACCGACAGGTGTCAGTGTATGGCATGCGGAGTGAGATTCCTACCATGAAATGCAGCACGTCTCATCCAAGTCAGACGAATATCCGACCCCGAGGGGAACGGGTCTTGCCGAGGGATTGGAAGAGAAGATGGTACTGCAGGTTTGCGAACGACCATCTTCCATACTATTCCATGGTTGGCATGAGGTACCATAATCCTTGCTGAATCTCTCAGAGCCTGCGCTGCTTCTGAACAGCTCTTTGTTTTGCCCAGTGCACTCGCACGTTAAGTCAACGGGAGGCTGGATCTCTGTGGAGGAGGCGCTTGAGCGAGTTGCTTCAGCAATTCCCAAGGGAAGGACCTTGTCAAGCGAAGGGATCCCGAACCCGAAGAAACGGCTGGGCCAGGGGTTGAGGTGGGCTTGATTCAGGTCCCCTCCCGACTGATTGAGCACATGCCTTAGGGGGGCCGCGGCTGTCACCAGCATCGCCTTGACTAGCGCGGCGCTGGGGGAAAGTCGACTGCCGAGCCCCCGGAACCCGAGGGGGTAGAAGCCATCTTCGAAGTACTGCCGGACGAGGGCGGCTAGAGCCCCGACCTTGGCAGCTGACGATGAAGACCCTGACCTCGCAACGAGGTACGACTCACTCTTGGACGCGTTGTCGCAGCACCTGCAGCCTTTGTTGCCCCCCGAGATGGGATTCCCGTCTGACCGGCCCGCGATCACGTTCACGCCTGGAGCCACGAGCTCTGGCTTGACCCGAGCAAACTGAAGCTGGTCGAGAGAAGAGAAGATGCTGGAGGAAGCCGCCTGCTGCGAGACCCCATACCCTCTGCCCGACGTTGCGTCCATCGCTTCTGCACCGAAGTTCTCAGTCAGGTAGCGATCCTTACAACAAGACGGCTCTCCATAGACTGCACGTGCGGGATTAGCACAAGTGTTGGTTTGATCGACATTGTGAGAACAGTCAGCGGGCCTGCAAAGAAGACTAGTCACTGTCAACAAGCAAGGTTCGACATTGTTCGATCACCGGCAGCTTGGATCATCTAGATCTGTTGCTGCAATCATGTTCTTGATCCACGACTGAGATGTTCCCACTGTCAAACAGTTCTTACAGGTGCCTGGGGAGCTGATCGTGTTGTCTCCATAGAGTCCATTGTCACCCGCCGGAAAGATCACCAGCATATCTGAATGCCTCGAGACAAAATCATCGATGCTCCATGCGTCGACTGTGTATCGGTTGCAGATGCTGGGCAATTCGTTGATCTTGTAATCACCCGCAACCGACTGAGCTGGGTCGAAGGACTTGTCCTAAAGCAACAGTCATTGCGGCAAGAGCGGAGCACGAGACAGAGGCACCTGCTGCTTCCACCACAGATAGTCCTCACATGTCCAGGGGTTGACGAAGACACGAGAGCCAGCTCCATACGCGGAGGAGAGGAGAGCATCCCCGATGTCAGGTGGGGTCAAGAACAGACTGCCTGAATCCGCGATGTCCACAAAGAAAATTTTGGAGTCGGGAGCTAAGCCATCGAACTGCTCGAGTCTGGATGGAGACGAATCAGGATTGAGTGCCTTCCCTGCCATGCTCGTCGCCACGTGGGTTCCGTGCCCTCCCCTGCTCAGCTTCAGCCGCCGTCCTCCTGCCACCATCTTCACTGACAGTCAACGAGCAGGAGGAGGAAGCAAAACCTCTCTGGAGCCCGGGAGGGACGACTCTTTGCCCCGACTGCTGTGGGTTGATCGTCACCACCACCGTCATTGGGGGGTCCATCGTATCGCAAGCTGCTCCAGCAAAGCCGCCTTTGCACGTGACCGCCTGGACTCCAGCAGGGTATCGATCCTGCTCAGCATGTCACTTGCACAGGCTCTTCGAGCAGCCCACCTGAACTTCACCTGGACTCCCAGGTAGGCAGACCCGTCCTTGCGGAGGACCTGCAGGTTGAACTCGAGCATCGACTGGCGTCGGTTGAGCGAGGTTCCCATGTCGGGAGCCGGAGTGTATTGAAAGTAGGAGAGGGCGCTCTGAAGGCTTCCTTCGTCCATCACTATCTCTACCTGGGTTCTGTTCTTGAAGGGAACGGAGTAGTTTCTCCCCTCAAAGGTTGCATAGTACGACTGGTTTCCATTCACACCTGCCTCACATCCATCACCTCCGACCCTTGGCCATGCATGTTCGTCTGCTCACCGGGACTGAGCGCAAACCACGACGGCAGAGCGATGTCGCCTACGCCTCCTTGACGTGTCGAGCTCGAGGTGTCGACGGGCCGCCCCAGCAGCTTCACGGTCAACTTGAGAGTTCGATTGAGCCCAGAAGACTCGAACAGCAGCTGCTTGAAGCCGAAGGTGTAGAGCCCTCCAGCTTCAGCCGTCAGGAAGTCCGTCGAGACGAGGTACGTTTCTTTCCTTGCTCCACACCACCCGGACGTATTGCACCAGGTTGGTGAGCAGGCGACCTGCGGGCCCGACGGAGACGGGCAGACTCGATCAGCTTCTGTCATCGCTGCAAGTGCAAACGTCTTGGAGACAGTTCCGTAGGGGAAGAGGTCCAGGTTTCGAATGCGCATGATCGCTGACCCATCAAGTCACTTGTCACCATCGAATCTTCTAAAATCCTCACCTTGATCAGCTCCCATGCAGTGCTGCATGGAACATCGCGGGGGAAAGCAATGTCCCCCACAGACATTGCAGAGGTCTAGTTGCCTACCCGAGTCATAGGTGTTGTCACAGTAAGTCTCGTTCCTCAGGTAGCAGACGTCATCTGCTGCAACCGCGTTCGTGTTTCGGTTGCCAAGGTCAAGCGAGTGAGTGTTCTCGTCCAGCAGGTCTTGACCGTCCTGCTTGTCACTGCAGTTGGTCGATCGAGTGAAGAGCTGGAGAGCAGCCGTGTGAAGGATAGGGGAGCTGCCGTTGTTCCACACCAGGAGGCGCCATCCATCAGCTGACTGGCGGAGAGGATCGATGACTTGGTGGTGCTGGTATTCCGACACGCTCGAAGCAGCGCTCGTCGTCACCCTATGAGTCACCTCAGCCCCTTACCCGCCATCACATGAACCTCACACCTGTAGTTCATGTCCCACCGGTTGGCATTCAGGCAGTTCTGATTCCACCAGGATCGGTTCCGCAAGTTGTCAGTCTTAGCGGCTGCTTGCAAGCGTGAACAAAAGGGAATAGAAGGGGGACAAGTACCGACGGCATAGACTCCATTCTCAAGCACACAAACCCCGAGAGAGTTCATCTCAAGGAGATTCGCTTGTACTGTCAACGAGACGTTCATGTATAGATTGAGGTTGCGAGCTTGAAAGCTGTCAAGTCTCCAATCTTTGCTGCTCATCGAATCAGACTGGAACAAGAGCATGAGGGTCGCATCACCTATTTGGTTGCAAGTAGATGTCGTAGACTTGTCCAGGCTGTAACAATGCTGGCATCTTATCCGTGAAAACGACCGAGTCATAATCTCTTGAGTCTATCCACAACCTCGAGCACATCCCACATGGTTGACATCCTGACTGCACTTGATAGCCCACAACCTTGCGTCGACTTTGATCCACCCGATTGAATGGAGGAACTCGCGTGTACTCCTCCCACCATGCTAGAGTTGTGTTGTACGTGTAATACTCCGCATTCTTCTTGGCATCGCCACCGGATTTGCGCTCCTGTCAGGTGGTCAGTGTTGTCGTGATCGATTGGAACGCATACAGGAAGGTATTGTGTGGCAAAACATGAAGAGAGCGCAGGCTCCAACAACCTTCCCTCCCAATTCATCATGCAGGTATTGAATGACACTTTGCCGTTCAGAAACGAAACATTCTTGCATATGTCGACTAAAACCCCCTCGCTGTTCCTGATCGCACGAGGCTTTGGGTATTTTCCTCCTCCTGGATGAAAGCAACAGATAAGCGGGAGGGTTGTCAAGTCACCGACGAGGTACCTCTGGTGATGTTGCAGAGCTCGTGCATGGCGGTTTGAAGGCTTTGATATCCGGGTCTATTGGGCACTGGCAACCAAGCTCTCACTAGTCTCATGGGTTCACCAGCCTCTTACCGTTACCAAACGCCTGGAAGAGAAACTCTCGCACGGGGGGCAAGGGATGTCGGTAGTCCACAGGCGCCAACGAGGAGAAGTTGAGCGAGGTGTAGAAGCAGAAGCATTTCTCATACTGAAAGTTCCAAGTCAGCAACTGCTAGGCGCTCATCGCACCTTGTCACCAGCAGGGCACTAAACACGGACCACTGGAAGCCTGCGGTTGTTTTCAAGTGCTCGGTAGTATTGTCAAGTTCGTCATATGCATACGTCTGCTTGCTGACAAACATCTGGACTCCATTGTTCCAAGTGACGTTCCCCCCGCAAGCAGCGCATAGTCGTGCACCTACTTGCAGGGTGCGGAGGAGAGGACCTCTCAGCGCTGCCCAGCTGTCGACCAGCAGCGCAATGGTCGGGTCACCTCTGAGTGAGAAGACGTAGCCCCGCTCGATGCGATCACGGCGGTCTCGGAAGCGAGCATTCAAGGGAGGGTATCGGCTCGGCACTCCCGCAGTTGTGCCAGAGTCTAGCAAGTGCGTATCTCTCGCTGAGAAGAGCATCATCTGAATGAACGCACTGAAGTCTCTCTCGCCCAGCAGTCCAGCATAAGCAGACGCTGAGCATGCGCCCAGCCCTTGAAAGGCTCGAGCGGGATTCAAGCAGAACCAGGGGAAGGAAGGCTGCCACAGCATGCAATTGTCGTAGTCGAGCCCGGTGTCGGAGAGTGAGACTAGCTGACCAGACCCTGTGAGCCCGTTCAGCTTGAGCAGCAAGCCATCGCTGATCTCGGACTGAAGCCCTGTACCGGACATCAAGATCTTGTCTTCCAGCAGGTTCCTTGCCATGTACACTCCTTGCACCTCCACCGACAAAACATCCACCAGCTCGCTCACATAACTCACAAACTCAGCAGCCTTGCCCCTCCTGATCCTTGCTGATAGCACCCGACGATTGCTCTCATGCGCGACAATGTGTTCGCTGTCTCCTAAGCCTTCTTTATCTACCATGCTCTTGATCACTTGATCAACCTCTCTGTTGTACCTCATGTGATGTGGAAGAAGCAATATTTTGAAATCAATCAGACTTTGCCCGACACTTGCGTTTATGGCGCTGAAAATGTCATCATGTGCCATGCTTCCTGATGTTTTTTCTCCTATCCAGATCACTCCTGGCAGGGTCAGAAGGTGAGCTGCTCGAGATGCTCCTGCTGTGATGAGGAAGGTGTTGTTTGACAAGTACTCCGTCAGCTCATACCCCAGCACGTCTTCCACCTTTGCCCTCTCCTCCCCGGCAAAGCTTATGGACACTTGCATGTACCATTGCTTCAACTGGTCAGGAGAGCAGAGTTGTTTCTGCTCCTGCCTCCCATCCTTGTGCTCGGCTACGGCACAGGAGACGAGGCCTCGTCCTCCTGTCCCGGCACCTTTGCTTGAACTTTTTCCGTGGGCTTCGGTGCAGTGGAGGCTTGGAGGAGGGTTGTCTGAGAGAGCAGGAGAGAGAGCATGGAGGAGACAAGCGAGGAAGCAGAGGTAGGTCATCTCATCGACCTCATCCTCGCATGCTTCGCTCCTCCCTCCTTCTCCTCCACGCCATGGCACTTCACTGACCTCTGGTAGCAACCGGAAGGTCAACGCGGGGATGTGGGCCTTGTGTCATTGCCCGGCGGGCCCGGCACGTTCGGTCCACTCAGTGATCCTCAGTACCGGGTGGTACATTGGACCCCCTCCTTCCTCTTAAAGAATCTCGGCCCAAGGGGGGGTAGGTAGTGCACGTGCGGTCATGGTGAAGGTCAGCGGTGGAGGAGGACGAGTGAAGGGGGAGGCAGGGAAGTCAGGGGGGGCAGGAGGAGGAGCAGGGGGACCAGAGTTTCCTGCTCAACTAGCGACCATGATCACAGAGCTTGAAAGGGTGAAGAACAGCCCAGAGGGACGAGCTAGGCTTGCAGTGCTCCATGCGGTGAAACAAGCAATTGCAGAGCGGGGGGGAGCCATGAACTGTGCTTCCTTAGCCGCAGCCCTTTTAAGCTCGCTCGCAGAGCTTCAGGACGAAGAAACATCCTCAGCTGTCCTCTTTCTTCTCACTCATATTCTTCAACATGTTGGACCGAATCTTTTGCGAAATAAGTTAGAATCCCTTGTTGACGTGGTAGGGAAGGCGATCTCAAACTTCTCATCCTCAGCCTCAGTCGCTCGACATGGCGATCATTGCATGTTCATCATTGCCAAGAGTCAAGAGCCCACGGCATGGCGCGGACCTGAGATATCCATCATCGTTGACCTCCTCCTCTCACACTCTGTAGACACGAGACCAAAAGTCCGTAAAAGCGCGCAAGGGTTCATCGTGAGTTTGATCTCGGAGGAAGGGCAGGCAGTGGAGGTAGCTCGATCCTTCATTGAGTCCAAGGTCATGAGCTTCTCCTCCTCTGTCTTCAAGTCTTGTACTGGCACGGAGACAGTAACGGCGCTGCAGCTGCTGGGAATGATAAGAGATGTATCTCCCTTCTTTTCTGCTAAAGCCATCCAGTCAATCGCGCAGAACTTGGTGAAGATGTTGAGCAGCGACAACGGGAAGATGAGTCAGCATGTCTACTCCTGTCTGGACTCGATGATGCAGGTCGGCGAAGAAGACGGAGAGACTGTCTGGTCGGAGAAGCTCTTATCGCGGATCATTGCTGCTGGAGTATCGAGCAGACCCAACGTTCTCTCGGGCTCTGAGAGCATCGTAGCTTGCTTCAGGTTTCTTCTCACGGCAGTCGCAAAACTGCAGGAGAGAAGCTCCATGGCTGCTGCAGAAGCTGCTTCCCTCGTCTTCGGTTCTGGTACCTCCTCCTTGCTAACTGCATCTCGGTAAGCTGTTACAGTGTCAGACTACATGCTTCCGTCGCCTTCGGGCTCCGATGAAATTGCCGTCGCTGCTGCTAATCTGCTGTGCGACACAATAGGTGATCAGCATGCTTTGAGTCCTGCTCCTTCTCTTTATCTTTATCTTTATCTTTATCTTTATCTTTATTTGCATCTTGCTTATTTCTGCCTTCAGATGTCTGCATTAAGTCAGACATTGTTGAAGAGGCAGCAGCAAACAGCAAGGCTTCTACAGTGGTTGAGTCTGTTGTGTCTCATGCAGTGGTATGCTCAGAGACTCCTCGTCATTCAGCTCATTCTTGATCAGGACATGCTTCACCCTCGTTTCAAGAAGCATTGGCATTGCACCCTTGCTGTCTCACAGAGTCTTTTCAATCGATTCCATGCGCGCTCGTCTCTCCTCCTTATGCCACTTCTGCATGCCCTCCTCCCGATCTTTCAGGTCCCCGTCCCTCACCTTTCTCTCGCTCACTCCTTGGCAGGCGGCGCAAGGGAAGAAGGGGATGACGCCGAGGGTTCAGGAGGAGGTGGAGAAAACTCTTGGAGCAGTAATAGTGAATGTTGGCCCTGAGCATCTCCTTGCTCAAGTTCCATTGTTCTCTGACCCTTCACACCCTGACCTGTCTGAGGTACCGCAGACTTCCCTCCTCCCTTCCCTCCTCCCTTCCCTCCCCCCTTCCCTCCTCCCTTCCCTCCTCCCTCCCTCCCTACCCTCCCTCTCCTCTCTCTTTCCTGCCGCTCTCCCCCCCAGTCGCCCAGTCTCCGTTGCTTGCCTTCCCCTCTCCCTTTTCTACTCCTCTCCCCTCCGCCTTCCCTGCCTCGCTCGCCGCTCTCATCCTCTTCTGTTTCTTTTGCTTGCCTTCACCTTCCGCCTCTCCTGCTCCTCCTCCTGTGCTGAGGGTGAGGGCAGGCAAATAACGTGTGGCTGCTGCCGGCGATGAAGAAGCACGTGCGGGGAGGCAAGCTCGGCTTCTTCGTGAAGTAAGAGCGCATGCGGGTGAGTGAAAGCTGAGGGAGCACACAGAAACCTCCTGCCTCTCGCGGAGAAGCTCCGGACCCTTGCGATTGCAGCCGATGAGCAAGGAAGGCCAGTGGAAGCCAAGAACTTGATGATGGTCTTCCATCAGGTGAAGAAATTCTCCCTCTCCTCCTTCATGATCCTCGTCCTTCATCACCACCTCCTCCTTCTCGATCCTCCCACTCTTTCTCCTCTTTCTCCTCCTTCTCCTTCTCCTCCCTCACTTTCTGCAGGTATGGGGGCTGCTTCCGTCTTTCATGCTCGAGTCTGTCGATATTGCTGCCTCCTTCCCATCTATTGCTAAGTGAGCTGCCCCTCCTCCCTCCGCCCTCCTCCCTCCTCCCTCCGCCCTCCTCCCTCCGCCCGCCCTGTTTCTCACCTTGTCCCTCCTCCCTCGCTTCCCCCTCCTAACTGGGCTGCCAGAACCCTCGGGGGTGCCATCGAGTCTGATCCTTCGCTGCGTCCCGCCTGCTGTCACGCGCTCCTAAACGGCATCCGAAGGTGCTGGCGGCGAGCTTGTCGAGCCTCTAAGCCTTGAGCAGCATGCGGACCTTGAGCAGCAGCGATCAGTCGATGGAGGAAGAGGAGGAGGAGGAGGTGAGAACGTGCTGGGGGAGGAGGAGGAGCTGAGGGCAGCACAGCCTCGCTTGCTTTCGGCAGAGGAGGCGGCAGCTTCCCTCACTTGCCTGGCAAGTTTCGCCAAGAACTATCTCCCCATCCTGTTCAACACCATCTCCTCAAGCTCGCAGGTGAGGGACAAGGGGGAGATGCGAGGGGGGGTTGAAGGGGAGGAGAGGGGAGGGAGATGAAGGGGACTGGCAGGAGGAGAGACCGCTTCTGCTTGAGACGGTCGGGGAATACGCCAAGATCACAGAGAGTTCGAGACTCAACGGGCTCTTTCAAAACGTGATGAAGAAGCTGCTGACTGCTGCCGCTGCTGGTGGTGACCCCATGACCGATGAACCTGAGGTGCGCTCCTGCCCCTGCCCCTGCCCCTGCCCCTGCCCCTGCCCTTGTTCCTGCCCCTGCAGCACGAGCAGGAGCAGCTGATTCCTCTTCATCCCTCCCTCGCTTCTCTTGTCGCTCTCTGAGCTGGAGGGCAGCTGGAGGCCAACAAGGTTCTGCTCCTTGAGCTCTCTCTCGCGCTCATGCCGGCGCTCGACGAGGCGAGCTCGGAGTTTCTCTTCAAGAGCTCGACGCCCTTCCTGTCCGACCCCTCGGGATCCGTGCAGAAGCGCGCTTACAAGCTACTGCAGGTGAGAGAGGCAGGGGCAGGGGCAGGGGCAGGGGCAGGGGCAGGGGCAGGGGCAGGGGGAGTAGGAAACTCAAAATTTGATGGTTGGAGCAGCTAATGGGAGAAGAACATACGTCACTCATGCAGAGGAAGATTGGAGACCTCCAGGTTCGATGTACCGCCACCAGCTCCCCTCTTTCCCCCCCACCTTCCTCCTGCTCCTGCTCCTGCTCCTGCTCCTGCTCCTGCTCCTGCTCCTGCTCCTGCTCCTGCTCCTGCTCCTGCTCCTGCTCCTGCTCCTGCTCCTGCTCCTGCTCCTGCTCCTGCTCCTGCTCCTACTCCACCACCTTGCAGTTATCTCACTCTCCTCTCAGACCGCCATGATCGATTCGCTACCTTTGCTCTGGCCGGGCGCCAACAAGTGGCGGCTGCGGTGCATCCTGAAGCTGGTGGAGCATCTCGGATTTGACGTGTCCTACATGAAGGTGGGAGATGAGCAAGGGAAGGCAGGGAAGAGAGACGAGAGAAGGAGAGGGAGAGAGGAGGGAAGAGGAAGAGCCAAGGAGGCGGGGGAGGGGGGGAGGGTAGAGAAAGGGCAGGAAGAGAGGGATGACTCGACTTGGCAGCTTATCGGAGCCGTCATGGGCGAAGTGATTCTTGGAACAAAATGCCACGCGAGAAAAAGCAGAGAATGTGCATTCCAGGTCTGCTCCTGCTCCTGCTCCTGCTCCTGCTCCTGCTCCTGCTCCTGCTCCTGCTCCTGCTCCTGCTCCTGCTCCTGCTCCTGCTCCTGCTCCTGCTCCTGCTCCTGCTCCTGCTCCTGCTCCTGCTCCTGCTCCTGCTCCTGCTCCTCCTTGTCTTCGCCCTCGTCTTTTTGGTCTCGTTCGCCTCATTTTGGTTCTCCTCCTTGTTGTCGCTGCCTCCTCCTCGTCTCTTCCTCGCTCTCTCTCTGCTCCTCGTCTCTCATCTCCCCTACAGATTCTCGTCAGTATCGCTCAGAAGGTCGACTACG